GAGTACCGAATGTCGGAAGGCTTCAGCTCTACAAACCTCATATTATTTCCGATTAAACAGTTGCTGCGTTTACACTCAGAAAACTAATACATTACTAAAGTGTTAGTAGTCTGAGGTTTACACGGCAGCATTTAGCCTGACATGTAGACGTGAGTATGCCCTCGCCGGCCGAACGGCATCAGTGTGTTGGGTTTGAAGCACTGCGGAGGGCGCAACGCACGCGACCTCGGCAGGCTGGGCAGCAGTTTTTACAGTCAGGCCATGGAGGTAGGAGGTCAGGCCGAACGAGAGCCGAGATATGCCAGAGCCGAACGAAACATGTACAGCGACCTAAAATATTTAGTAATAATAATAATAACTTTATTACGCAACTTAACCGTCTGTGGGTTTAGTAAGGTAAAAAATGATTACAAAAGACAAATAAAACAAGACACACTGAACGCTAAAAAAATACACTGAAATTCAACAAAAGAAAGAAAGAAAAATTAGAAAACCTCTGAAAAATTGATTAAACAGCAGCAAGGTTCTCCCAGACCACAGTTACATATTTTAACTTTGAACAATTGTATTTTTTAAATAATATGATAAAGCCATATTATTTCCCATTATTTTCACGAAGCTTTCCATTCTGAACAACTCATTAATTTTTATTTTAAAATACTTCAAGACATGTTTGATCTCTACTTCATAGAAATTGCAATCTAAGATTTCATCTTCAATTTGATCTGAATTGGATTTTTTGCAAGTTCTTTCATTTTCTGGGGGGTTTGGTTTACTCTTGCTTCCCAATTTAATTCCAAGGTTGTGGTCACTGAGCCTGAACTTTGCTAACACTCTACGTTGGCTGAAGTTTTTCATTTCATTTAAATAGTTTTCCAATAGGTGATTTTCCGAACAATTGCGAGATCTCGCGAGATGCATGAAAGACGCGCGTCGAACGTCTGCCGCAAAAATCGAACGATTTGATTTTGAACTAGAATTTCTTTATTTCGCAGCTTACATTGACCGGCCGATCTTCCACAGAGGAATATTGCTTCCGAATACCCTTACTTAATCGAAATTGTCTATCATCAAATGTGGACAGCACATTATTTAAAGCATAGAAATGTCCCCGAAATACTTTCGCGTTTGTCGAATCCCACGCGATGTTTGACGCGACTACGACGCTATGACCTTTGTTTGTCCTGTTTTTACGTTCGATTTCACGCATAACGCGTGATTCTCGCAGTGTACGGAAAATGGTCTATTCAAAAGTTTGTTTAAACATTTTTTATTTAACTGTTTTCTCCATGATTGAATAAATTCATTTGTTAGCTTAGTTTTTACAACATTGGTTAGTTGATTTATAACATTGTTGATCTTGTAAGTTTCTTTTATTTTAGACAATTTATTTTCTCCAAAAATTGTTTTTATTTGAGTAATCCAGGCAGAATTATGTTGTATTTCCTTTAATGCACATTTTAATATGTGATTTTCAGGAAGCAAATTTATTCTGTACCAGTATTTAACCTTTGAAACCATTGCATTTATTCTTACTGGTAATCTACCTAGTACACCCCTCATACCAACTGATGGTGTAAATTTACTAACACAATAAAACGATAATAATTAATACAAACTTGCTCTAGGTTATTTGTGTCATTTGTTAGTTCACCTGCCCAAATTTCTGGCCCATACTTTAGAATGGGTGTAACAAAATGATCAAATAATTTTAAACAGAATGAAGTTGAAATCATTTTATGACTCAGTATAGTTTGTCTAATGGCAAATAATGTCTTCATTGCTTTATTGTTTAGCATACAATAGTTTGTTTTAAATTTTCCATTCGGAGTGAATATCATACCCAAATAACAGAACTCCTTGACTGGTGTTATGTTTTTACCATCTATAATAAAAGTTTGATTTTTCAGTATTCTGTTACTTGTGTTGAATATCATCACTTTGGTTTTCTTAACATTCACATCAAGATTCCAGGTTTTACAATAGTCTGCTAATTTATTCAGACAATTTTGTGAACCCTCTGCAGTCTGTGAAAACAAAACAAGATCGTCTGCATATAAAATAGAGTTTAAGGGTTTATCACCAATCATGATTGGTGTATCACCACTTTTACCAAAATGACCTGGAAGATCATTGATGAATATGTTAAAAAGGGTGGGTGAGATATTACAACCCTGTTTCACACCACATGTGCACTGAAAACCTTCTGTTAAATCATTTGACATCTTTACCTTGTAGTTTATGTTATTGTACATGGATTTAATGATTTCATAAATGTTACCATTTATTTCTAAATTTTGTAATTTTAGGAATAATGCCTTTCTCCAGACGCTGTCGAAAACTTTTCTGAAATCTATAAAACATGAGTACATGCGTTTTGGTTTATCAGAATTTTTTCCTTGAGTGCTGTACAATGTTTTATCTATAGCTGTTTTAAGTAAAAATATATCATCTGTTGTGCGTCTCTGTTTTTTGAAACCAAACTGTACTTGTGTCAGTAAATCATTTTTTTCCAAATAAGATGTCAGCCTTTGATTTAATATGCTGGTAAATAATTTGGCCATACAAATAATTCTCCCCTCATTAGAATATGATTAAATATTTTAGTAAAGATTTGTTAATTAAATTATTATCAATTTTAAGCATTTCATTTGTGATGCCATCTTCCCCTGCAGACTTATTATTTTTCAAATTTGTTATTGCATTAATAATTTCAGACTTTTTAATCTCTTCGTTCAACACTGCATTGTAGTTTTTTAAGTTCTCCTTTGCTAATAAGTCTTGGTCAGTTTTATTACTATTAATGTTATTATTATTATATAGCTTATTAAAGGGATCCATAAAAGTTTCACTTGTTATAATGGCATCAGATTTTCTATTTTCTGCATTTCTCAAACGTTTTAGTACTGACCAATACTACGCAGATTGTTGTCACCCATTTCCTGCAACTGTTTTTTTCTTATTTTTGACTATTTTTTTGTAATGTTTTTGAATGTACAGTAAGTATGTTTAACAATACAATTGTTTGGCTGATGAGATAATGTTTTTGCCAGTTTTATAAGTTCTCCTCTGACTTCATTGCACGTTTTATCAAACCAAGGCAATTAGTATGAAAACTAGTAGCTTCGTGATAAGTGGCTTTCGCAATGAATTGGGCTTTGTCGCAGTAATTGGTCCTTTCATCAGAGTTGAGAATTTATGTTTATTGCGTCATTACCAACTAGTGTTAATCGTTTCGTGTATATTGTACCTTTGTATAGATTGTGACATTGCTTGATATAGATAGTTAAATTGCTTTGTATAGATTGAAACATTGATTTGTGTTTGCTTTGTATTGTCTTTCGTAGTTCAAAATACCATCCTTAGGAGCTGTTAATTTTTCCTTATAATTTGTACAGTTGCTTTGCCAGGAGCTCCTAAATAAGACCCATGATCTGATATTGCCCCCTAGTTTCTTACTTAGACCATGGAGGTAAAAAAGGAGTCACAGCCAAAATAATGATATGCATTCCCATATGAAAATGATCTATTTCAATACACCATTGTGTAACACACTGGAGATTACCACAATTATGCTGGCTTTGCTTGCAGGCCAAAATGTACAAATTCTCAAAATGCAGTGTTTCATATGGCTAATTTTCTTGTCTAATTATGCATAAATAAGCATAATTTGAGTATTATCATTGTTAGCCACAAACAATCACACACAAATAGAACATTGGCTAGATAACCTTTGAAACTTTCAGCCACTTACCCGGTTTATTAGTCATTTGTGTATCCGGAGAGTGGCAGAGAAAATATGCACTTTCAATACATATATACGTAACACATAGGATACAAACGCAGCCTAAGAATTGACTTAATAAAAAGTTAGATAAATACAACTCACCAATTCTGGTTTTCTGGATGATTCTTCTGAATATTTATGTGGGATGTGGTGCTTCACAATACTGCTGAAATAGTTAGTAAAAAAACTTCATTTCTTTCCATGAATTCTAGTAATTATCACAGCAAAATCAGATTTCAGTGCTCTATGGTCTGATGCTCTAGGAGGAAATCGCCGTAATACAGTGAACGATCGGATCCCTTTAGTATGGTGAATACTAACGCTTACAAGTTTGTAATACCGCCCTCTCGCGAGCAATTCTGCATGACCCCTGTTATGGTGAAAATGTGTCAACTATCCTGAAGCCTTATCACGCTGTTGATCCGTGAAGGCATTGCTAGACGTGTTAAAGTGTGTTGATAAACAACAGATCACACGATGTGTACCAGTATATGGTGTTAATGACTACGTATACCCGGGCTGGATTCGGCATATCTGTGTTGGTATAAGCATAGTACATCAATGGTTTAACGTATGCTAGTATATGAAACATACATACAGGTAAACATTCAATACATAAAGCCAGTATTTGCCGTAGAATACGTTGAATGATATATACATGCTGTTTTAGCGATTTCACGTAAATTGCTCTAATGTTAATTAACTAAACTGACAACACTCATATTATAAGTGTAGACTGTGTTTGTCATGCTAGTACGATGACGTATGTGTAAAGCGTAAGCGTGACACAGATGCGGTGAGTGTTGTATAGTACGGATGGCTTCCGCTTTACTTACTGTGCTTTATCGGTGATTTAAAGTACCATTCCGTAATATATGGCTGTGATATAGCGTTAGTCTGAGATATAACGAAATACAATAGCGGTGCAGACACCACGTGATTTCGCTTCACAGTGGCTTTTGTTCAAACCACGGTTACGAGGAACCGTGTTCAAACGCAGTGAACGCAGGTCGGGTAGATAATAAAAACTGCCGTGACCCTACACTACGAGGAAGTAACACTAATTACGCTTCGATTCTTGGAAAGTATAACGTCATATATTTCCGCTAATATATAACCAGTCGATGGTAATCATGCAACGTATGCGATAGTAACTGGAGATTCAAATTTCACCAAAATTATGTTTAATTACAGAAGCAGATCACCACAGAGAATGCCGGTTAGCATCCCCCTTATGTGTACATTGTTTGTACGAGTGGTTGGCGACGTCAGAGATCTGTGGCAGGTAGCATGTCTGGTAACCTGCCTTGTGTTTGGATATGGGGTCCTTTGCTGGAAATTTCCCAAACACACAGAGGAGGAGACCGTTGTACACACACCTTGTGAGTATGGGGCTAATACTAAATCGTGATAACAAGGAAGTGAAAATATAAACGACTGAAATGTCCTATAGTGATAGTAGACTTCACACAAAAGCCCGTCTAAAAAAGTTCTTATTTTATTCGTAACGGAAAAAATAAAAAACGGAATTTATTCATCGTTGTATCAATATGTTTAACGAAAAACGTGTGGTCAATATATAATATTGTTGCAGTGATATGGTGTTTTGTCATTTACCGGAGTGATTGGGAAATACTTCAACGCGACACCTCAAAATTTCGTTAAACTCTTATTCACAGGGTAAAGCAATACGATTCACAGTCAATTCGTCCCAACACATTCGTCCCACAAGTCGATTCATCCCAATTCACATTCGTCCCACGAGTCGATTCGTTCCAATTCACATTCGTCCCAATTCACATTCGTCCAATTTATTTAATTTTTGGTCAGCATTACGATCTTGAGCAGGGTCAATTTCTATGCCAACTGTTACTGACACGCTAATTAATAACTCCACGTTGCGTGAACGGTGTATTTGTATTTATTTATTTATTTATTAACTAATAACTCTACGTTGCGTGTACGGTGTATTTGTATTTATTAACTAATAACTTGAACGGTGTATTTGTATTTATTAACTAATAACTTGTACGTTGCGTGTAAGGTGTATTTGTTTTTATTAACTAATAACTCTACGTTGCATATAAGGTGTATTTGTATATAACGTCGGCAAAAACAGTGCGTGGGACGAATCGACTTTGGGACGAATCAACTTGTGGGACGAATCGACTTGGGACGAATTAACTTGTGGGACGGAACGACTTGGGACGAATGTGATTTGGGACGAATCGACCGTCCCCCAAGCAATACGAGTCGAATTCAATATTTCCATTACTGAGCATTTCACTGCGCATATGTGCATTACAAGAAATACATTACCGTTATATATATAATTTGAACCATATCCCACTGGAAACTCGCTAAATTATATAGGGTTTATTAGAATTCGCATCAATAATGATATGTGAAAAGTTCACTATAGAAACCAGTACAAAGATGCAAATTGTGCATGTCATTTTCGACTTTTGTTTCTGAGGACTGTTTATTAACCGTAATTCTTGTTTTCAAATCAGTGTGGCAGCATGACAGACTAATTATTGTGCTATAGGTTGTCTCGAACCAATTCGCCTGGCCAAGAAAGTCCGGCACAGTATTCACTCGACCACAATGAATGCACGTAGAAAAGACGGGTCTTACACTGCTTAGTACAAATGGCTAACACTGGCATTCTAACAAATCCCTAACAGAATAAGTCTGTACATGTAGGTAATGACAACATTGATGTAACCTCTGCGAAGTTTTCATGTACAAACTGCGTTATATAGGCGTATGTACTATCTTATCGAATAGCTGACGCAAAAGTCGAGACTAATGCAGTCCATCCAATGATGACACCGTCGCGGAAGAGTAAACGGAAACGAAAAAAGAAATCTTCAAAGGATCCACAATTCAAGAATACACATAGAAAAGATGGGACGTCCAGTATACCTGACAAGCTGCAGGACCATAACAAGCCGCCAATAGTTGCTAATGTCACCAAAAGTAGAAATGTTATAGTAGGGAATCACAATATCATGAATGTTAACATAAATTCTGGTAAGTCAAGTAACTGGAGACTCATTTTCAGTTGGTTATAACCTCATTCTTCGAGGTTACGCTAAAACATAATATTAACATCACGTTTGGGTAATGTGGGTTGTCGTTTTTAATGCCGGTTGTCTGCGGTAGAGGTATTAAAACGTATTACGCAAAGACCTATGGGAAAAAGAATGTCCTGCCGGAACGCAGCCGAGCGTTTTGGCCATTTTTGGGCGTGATTACTAGTATTAGATTTCAGTTGCGCCACTAACGGTGCGAAAGCATGTTTTAAACTACTAGTACTATCAGTACTACCAGAGGTACATTACTTGGGGTTTGCAACGCGCATAGTACTGTATGGTGACATCACAGTCAGCCGGCGCACACGTGATAATAAAATAAATACGATATTTACTATATGGGGGCCGCCATCTTGAATGCAGCATAAAACTAAATAAGAGACAAGTTGTGAAACGCGTTTTTCAGATTCCTACAAATCAGGACAAAAATACCAATCTTTCACAAAAATACGATCCGTTGGGGTTATATTAAGCCAACCGATAACAAAATTCGGCCGAATTCGGCGTTTTTGTGTGGAAAAATCCCTTACATACGAACACCTAGTTACACGATGAACCTAGAACACTAAGCCGGGGTATTTGAAACCGAAATTGTCATCTAAGTGTAAGCCGTCGCTGATTGGCTGCTGAGCTGGAATGACAATTTTTGGTTTCAAATACCCCTGGAAAGTGTTCTATGTTCTTCGTGTAAAACAAAAGTGACATGTGTACCAACCTGAACACACTTTCTGTTGCATGATTTCATATTTATGAACATCACCGTATTTATTTCGTAAAAAATCATAAAGTTTATACGCATATAATCTTTGTTTGACCAAAATGTGGTGAGTCACCACATTTTTTATGCAAATTACAGACATATGCAAATTACGGTGTGACAGTGGTGAAAACCCGAACGAGAGGAACGGAAGTGAGGGCGCCGCCAGTGTTTGAAGTGTGCCTTCTGACATGACACAGGCGGTTTGTAATAAAACATGTATTACCACATTCGTAGTAAAAAATGTAATACATCGAAAATGTACAGTTATAGTTATAGTTATCGTAATCCGTCATGTCGTGAGCAGCTAATTTGATCCACCTGGACATCCCAGTATCCTAGTTACCTCGGGCATGCGCATTCGAAAGCGAGATTGAAACGGGATCTTGGTATCATGTCACCGTAGTTGCAAACCCCAAGTAATGTACCTCTCGTACTATATATATATATTCGTTTAACCTCCTCTCATTAGTAAATAGCGCCCTCACTCCACAATATTTAGAATGAGTGGTTGGTCAAAAGTTTGATGAGTCAGGTGCATCTATTGGCTAAGCTTGTTGTACATAAATGCAAATGAGTATACCATTAATGCTGTAGGGTGTACTGGGAGGGGTGGAGGATTTCATGTTTGTAATGACTGGTTGTAATGCGGTATCTCGTTGTTTTCAAGATGCAGCCTGATATTTGTTGCTTTCTTGGTTGTTCAATTGTGGCTAAAATTTGTGTGGTGAGTGGAAGATGTGTTTATTGTTTGTTGAGTCATTATTTAGATACCCTGCAGCTTGAAATGGTATGGTCCAAATCCAAATTCGATATGGTGGTGTTGAAAATCTGTGCGATATGGCAGTGTCATCTAAAACCAGCATCAAAATGATTTCTGTTTATTTATTTACTGTTGTAGATCCTGAGAACTAGCCATTGAATATGATGTCGGGAATAAATGGTTTTCTGAACAAGCTTTATTAATTATTGCTGGCAATATTCCAGTATGAATTGGGAGCAAACTGTGACACCAAATCTAGTCGTTGTATTGTTATGCTTCTAAAATATTTTTCTTTAAATAAAATAAATTAAATAGAAATATCATGTGTATTTTTGTATGTGGAAACATGGCTTGCCCACTAAAAAATATAAAGAAGTGTGGTCTGCAGCTCTTTTTTTTTTAATTTTTTTTATTTGTGAAAAAAAACTGGAGTGTAAACAATAAAACACTCACAGTGCAAGGCTAGCTCACCAACATGTCTATTCTCTTGCTTGAGTGTGAAAGTACATGGTTTAGTGACTACCTCTTATATTTTTAAATTTTAGATTTTTTTTTTATTTGGGATGGTTCTTCTATAAAAATAGAACAGATATATATATATATATATATATATATATATATATATATATATATATATATATATATATATATATATATATATATATATATATATATATACCTACCTTCAGCGTGCTTTGCGATTTTGACCTTTGTACTGGCGTGCGTCACAGGCCACTTTCTCTCCCTATCTGTCGGCGTTGACAGAAAATGACAGAAAACAACAACAGAAAATTACTAATATGCACACTGTACATTGTTTCCCGTGAATTGTAACTCTTGTACACGACTGATCGTTGTTCAGTAACTCGGATGACGAGTCAACTAATAACACGACGCCTACATACAGTGGGAATGACGACAATTTCATATTTTCCTGGAGAAAACGGAGCCAAATATCCACTTTAATTTTTTCATCATTCACGAATTATTGCCTCCTGAAAATGTTAATGTCACAAAAATGAAGAAATTGTTCATAATTAGTATGACTATAACAACCGGTATTGAAGATACAGTCATTGTTTCTTTGGCTTTTAGAAAAAGCAGTGCAAAGATTATAAACATTGTGACCATTGTAATTAAACTATAAATTATAAAAATATTAATTATAATTATGATTTTTTTAAATTAATTATAAATTATTAAGTCCTAAAGAAAACATCATGATTTTCGTGTACTTATACTCTTTTTT